GGCAGTCCTCTGACCTCCGCCTCCCAAGTGCGCCCAGCTGCTTTTTTTAGTTTTTAAAAAACTAATCAAACAGCCATATTAAGTATGTGCTTAATGTGTATAATGTATTTGTGTTACAGTCAATTTTGCCCATCTTTAGGGGTCTGAATTTCCTTGAAAGAAATGTAGAGAAGTGCAAGATATTCACCAGATCTGATAAATGCAAAGTAGTCATTCAATTCTTCTGCAGACATGGTAGGTGTAGATAAAATTGTTTTAAAATATTGTGTTTTTTTTCTCAGTGATTTTCATGGTTAGAATTTCAAGCAACATGTTAAGACCTTGCCTTGCTTTATTACTTAGAGTTTGTGCAGTTAAATAGTAGGGCAGTTGTTAAGTATTATCTTATCTGTCGCTGTAGAAGTATTGTAAGATGACTGGTATTATTTCCTTTTTTGACTTGTCAGTGGCACAAGCCTTGCCTGCATACAAACCAATTTTTAAAAAGTCAATTTGAAATCAAACCATTGGTTGTTCTAAAATCTACTGGCTAATTTTTTTGTTTGTTTGTTTGTTTTTGAGTTGGAGTCTCACTCTGTCGCCCAGACTGGAGTGCAGTGGCCGCTCCCAGCCACCGCAGCCTCGACCTGCTGGGCTCCGGCGATCAATCCGCATCAGCCTTCCGAGTAGCCGGAATTACAGGCATGTGCTAACATGCCCGGCTGATTTTTTGATTTATTGTAGAGATGAGGTCTCGCTGCCTAGGCGGGTCTCGAACCCGCGGGCTCAGGCAATCCACTCATCTCAGCCTCCCAAAGGTGCGGGATTACAGGCTGAGCCATTCTGATTAATCTTTAAGAAAATTTACCTCAGCCGGGTTCGGTGGCCTAGCCTGTAATCCCAGCACTTTGGGATGCCGAGGCAAGAGGACTGCCTGAGCCCAGGGGTTCCAGATCAGCCCAGGCAACTTGGCAAGACCTTGTCTCTACAATAAGTCAAAAATTAGCTGGCGTGGTAGCGCCCGCCTGTAGTTTCAGCTACTTGGAAGGGTGAGGCAGAAGGATCGCTGGAGTCCAGCGGATGGACGCTGGAGTGGTCATGAGGGTGCCACTGCACTCCAGCCTGGGAGATGGAGTGAGACTCCGACTTAAAAAAAAAAAAAAAAGAAGAAAATTTACCTTTTTAAAAAAAATTTTTGACTTGTTTTGCATTGTGGTAAACCATACAGAAAATACAATTTACCATTTTAAACATCTGTTTATTTTTGAGTTGGGGGGTGTCTCACTCTGTCACCCAGGCTGTAGTACAGTGGCCCAATTCTCAACCTCCTGGGCTCTGGTGATCCTCCCACCTCAGCGTCCCAAGTAGCTAGGACTATAGGTGTGTACCACCACGCTCAGCTTATCTTTTTATTTTTTGTGGAGACAAGGGTTTGCTATATTGCCCAGACTGGTCTTGAACTCCTGGGCTCAAGTGATCCTTCTGCCTTGGCCTCCCAAAGTGCTGTGATTAGAGGTGAGATCCACCATGCCTGTTTTTTGTTTTTTTAACTAATAGCTACCCTAATGAGAGAGAAGTGATATCTGTGGGTTTTGATTTATATTTACCTAATATGTTAGGTAAATTTTGTTTTAAAGAACAAAATTTTGGCTCTGTCATTTATTTTTATTAAATATTTGCTATCTTTCGCTTTCCTTCCATTTTTTCTGTTCCTGGGCTTATTCTGCTGTTTTCACTTCTTAAGTTAGATGCTGTTGTTGATATAACAACTAAAGGCTTATAATTTTCAACTAAGACAGTTGTTTGCCCATGGCCTGCACATGGGAAAAGAATACACAGTCTACAGGTAGACAGCTGCACCTCTTGAAAGTCTCTTCTGAGCCCTGAAGTTATAAGAAATCTTTTGAACGTGTTTATGTGGAGAATACAGACAGCACTAGCCAAGTAACAGAAGTCAGCCCTCTAGGTCTCACTCCGAGAAACATCTTCCTCTGTGGTTAAGGTATCTTTCTTTTCTTCTTTTTATGTTGTCAGAAGTCAGGAGCTTATGGTCAGAGGTTCCTTGTGCTACAGGGGAAGCTTTGGATAACATTAGTTTATAACATGGAGAGACAATAGTCACTCCTGGCAGGTCAGAGGTAAGTAGAGTCTTCATCTATGCTTAGCTCATTAAATTATAATTACAAAAGCTCAAAATTCAACCTTTAAAGTTTTGATATGTTATTATTATCATTATCATTATTATTATTATTATTTTTAAGTTGGAGTCTCACTCTGTTGCCCAGTCTGGAGTGTAGTGGCACAATCCCGGCCACCGCAGCCTCGACCTGCTGGGCTCCGGCGATCCTTCTGCCTCAGCCTTCCAAGTAGCTGGAACTACAGGTGCACACTACCACGCCCAGCTAATTTTTTGATTTATTGTAGAGATGAGGTCTCACCAAGTTGCCCAGGCGGGTCTTGAACCTGCGGACTCAGGCAACCCACTCACCTCAGTCTCCCAAAGCGCGGGATTATAGGCTGAGCCACCGAGTCTGGCTCATTATTATTATTATTTAGGCCCAGGTACTTTCTAAGCTTCCTTATGCTTTTTTTCCTTGGCTTATAAGTTGCTTTTGAGTTTGTTTTTTATTCTACATGGGTTTCTCCCCCACTACTAGTTTAGATGTTATCATTTCTATTATTTCAATAGTTTCCTTAGCTATTTAAACTTGAACAACTGTTGTAATACTGTAAGAAAGGGGTTGGCAGTAGTGGAAAACTGCCAAGGGAGGGCAGGGAAGGCACTGGCAGTAGTGTGAAACTGGCAGAGGGGGGGCACACCTCATCAACAAGGGTATCTGCATAATTAACATTTGTATACCTAACCCTGAATTGTATCCCATATATTTAAAAAAAATTTTTTTTTAATGTATGTTACTTAAAGTCTAAAGTTGAACACATTTAACCTCTTTGCAAAGAAAGAACCCTAGCACACTTAGGCTGAATACTACCTCTCCCTTGCCAACTTACATGCTATTGTGTTTAGTATTTTAGTTCTATCATTTTGACCAAACACATTAGACATTCTTTCCACTGTATACTTAAATATGGCCACATATTTACTGATACCTTAGCTTAATAATACATCTTTATGGCCGGGCTTGGTGGTTCAGCCTGCAATCCCAGCACTTTGGGAGGCCAATGCTTGAGCTTGCAGTTTTGAGGCCAGCCTAGCAATTTGGTGAGACCTCGTCTCTACAGTATATCAAAAAATTAGCTGGATGTGGTAGCACATGCCTGTAGTTCCGGCTACTTGGAAGGCTGAGGCGCAAGGATTGCCGGAGCCCAGCAGGTCAATGCTGGGGTGGCCGTGAGCATGCCACTGCACTCCAGCCTAGGCAACAGAATGAGAATTCAACTTAAAAAAAAAAAATTCTTTATTCTCAGACCTTTCCTTTGGGATCATTTCATTTTCTTATCTGAGTCTATCCTTTAGACATTTCTTCAGAGGAGATTGCTTGCCAGTAACATTTCTCAGCTTTTGTTTTATCTAAAAATATCTTTACTTTATCCTCTTGATTGATGGTTTTACTACATATAAGACTTCTAGATGGACAGTTATTTTTTTCTTAGGCAACTGAAGATATGATTCCATTGTCTTTTGATTCCTGTTATTGCTTTTGAAAAGTTAGCTATCAGTCTAAATACTATTCCTATGAATCTGTTTTGTATTTTCTTTCTGATTGTTTTGAGTATCTTTTTTGGGGGTGGGGGGTTTAAAGTTCTTCAATTTCACTATAAAATATCTACTTATAATTTTCATTCATTCATTCATTCATAGAGACAGAGTATCACTCTGTCACCCAGGCCGGAGTGCAGTGGTGTAATCAACTCCTCACTCTCCCGAGTAGCTGGGATTATAGCCACGAACCACCACGCGATTTACAATTTTCTTTTTCTTTATTTTGCCTGAGATTTGCTGGGCTTTCTGCATCTTAGGTTTAATATTGGTCAAAATTTTAGAGACTTATTTTTTTCTCTTTTGGAGTTCAATTTAGAGTGTCTTACATTATCCTTCTAGTTCCTTAGCCTCATTTCACACTTTCTTTGTCTCTCTAAGCCATATTTTAGATTATTTATTCAGATCAATTTTCTAGTTTACCGATGTTCTCTTCAACTATCTCTGAATGTTTAATCCATTAAATTTTTATTCCTATTTTAATATTTTTCATCTCTATAAGTTCCATGTCTTATTTAAAAATTTGCTTAGTCGGGGCAACCCCTTTGGGTCCCCTCCCACTGCGGGAGCTTCTCTATCCTCTCAATAAATCCAGCTTTCTCACTTAAAAAAAAAAACTTGCATGGTCATTTTTAGTTTATTTTCCTTCCTCATATTTTCAGTGCTTTAAACCATTTCTGAAGTATGTTAAAATATTTATATTTTTGACTGATAAGTCAAAAAATGAAGTCCACCTCCGATATCTGTTGCTTCTGCTGGCTTTTACTCATGGCGATGTTTCTTTGTGTTCTACTTAAAGCTGCCTCTCTCCAGAGGTGATTTCTGTTTATTTAGGAGTTTTCTAGGGTTAGAATATTGACACTGATACTACACTATAAATAACTATCGAATCTTTCTCTCCTTTCCCAGTATGTATAAAAATAACCCATTCTCCAATGGATAAATTTCAAAGCTGGGAAGAATTTGCTGTCACTGACATTGGCAGGATCGAAAACCAGGTTATTTCTACTTTGAAGGCTATAAAGTATGAATGTGAGAAAGATGCTGCCGAAATGCCTAACAGAGCAAGTTCTTTACCACTTGTCTTGCATCCAGGTTAAATTGAAGCAACACTTTCATTTAGCTGAGAAAGCACCTCTAATAAGAAAGGTAGTACCTTCCGCATTTGGTTATGGAACCATCCACATCGGCCTCTACTATAAATCTCGAATGGTAAAAACGGCATGAGGATGCTTACTACTTCATTCATACCACACAAGACTGCAGGAGGCACAACCCCTCAAAATCACCGAAATACACAAACCTGTGTGGATCATCGGGATCACAGTTAGGAAGGAACTGAGTGATGGCTTCCGCCACTTCTTCATTCGACAAAACATCCCAGAGTCCATCAGTGGCCAAGATCAGCACGTCATCTGCTCCGTGCTCGTATTTGGAGAGATCGTAGATTCTCACCTGCAAAGGACAGGAATGCTACCGCTTAAGAACATGGGATCACATGGTTCCCCCAACACACTGATTTCTTCTGGTTCCCTTCCCTTTTCCAGCACAGCCTTGTGTTTTTGGGGATGCATCATAAGGTACACAACTGCGCATGTGCCTGAGAGGTGGGCTTAATAACTGACAAGGAAATCAGCGGGAAATATAATGCCTGCAGGGTAGAGTTGGGACCATGACCTACAAGCAGATATCTTGCCAGCCAGAAGATCCTTAAGGGCCTTGTTTGCCGGCCTTCTTCTGCATATTCACTCAGCAAACATTTATCAAGAGCCCATCCTGTCCCAGGGCTATAAATACAGAGACGAGTAACAGAATTTTCTGTCTGTGGGGAAGAGAAAGCCAACTCAGGATCCTGGCAGCTGCTCTGTATGTATTTGAGCAGGAATGAGGAGAGACACTCCATGGTCCGCACTCCCTCAAAACCCTTCCTGCCCCATCTGCCCTGAGGCCTGAGGGGCCAGCTCCTTTCATGTGGGAGTATGCTCAAGGCTACCCTCAGGTTTCAGGAACCCCAGGTGGGGTGAGTTACAAAAAACCCTTGCTTAGTCTCTCCAATGTGTGTTTTTGTCTTGACAGAGGTTAAAGCCTTTCCTCATCTCTAGTACCTTGGACAACCTGGATATTTCAACATTGACCTGAGCACTGTAAAAAGGATGCAGCCACCTTCGCAAAACTAAGAAAAATCAAGCCTCACTTGTGTTAGGTGAAGTGAGTTCTTACTTGGGCAGGGGCTGTAGGGAGGGGTGGAGAAGAGTTTGAGATTTCTTTTCTTTATTTTTTTTTTTAAGTTAGAGTCTCACTCCGTTGCCCAGACTGGAGTGCAGTCACACAATTATGGCCACCGCAGCCTCAACCTCCTGGGCTCAGGTGCTCTTCCCACCTCAGCCTTCTAAGTAACTGGAACCACAGGCGCATGCTACCACATCTGGCTGGTTTTTTGATTTATTGCAGAGACGAAGTCTCGCCATGTTGCCCAGGCTGGTCTTGAACCATGGGCTCAGGTAATCTTCTCACCTCGCCCTCCCAAAGTGCTAGGATTCCAGGTGTGAGCCACCACACCTGGCTGAGTTTGGGGTTTCATTTTGATTCCTTCCTCATATGGCAGGACCTGTCCCTGCCCAAATGGCTTCATGAACTGAGGACAAAAGCGGGGCTGTGGCAGGATGCGGCAAATGCTCAAATATATTTCTTGTATGATTGAGTGAATAAACACAGAAAAACATGTAGCTAATTCGGGATCAGCAGTTGGCCTTACCTGGGCTGCCACTAGCCCAGCAGCAAGAAGAAGGGGTTAATAGCAGTTAAAGGTATTTCCTTTTGAAAGGCAAGTTGCAACTTTAAAGACCCGCCAGGCACTGGGCAGGTTTTGTTTAAGAAAGGCCAAATGGCCCAGAGACTGGCTATTTCATGGAAATGGAAAAGAGTCTTAACTAAAACCCTCCTTCTGAAGTTGATGGTTTACAAGCCTGCAGTTCCTGGAAACCATTTGTTCTTCAAAATATCTGATTTTGCTGAGTACAACCTTGTAAGATTCCAAAGGAAGTATGTAATCACTCAACACCACCCCCCTCCCTTACCTAAACAAGGGTATAAGACCCCATGTCTCCTGTTCTGGGGCGCTCGGTTTGGACGCATTAGTTCCACTGAGCCCGCTGTGCTAGCCAGCGTAATAAAATTCCACTTCCTATAATAGTCTCGGTGTCACTGTGTTAGCCAGCATAATAAAATGCCACTTCCTATAATAGTCTTGGTGTCACGATCTCTCTATTTTTCCTGTTGCAGGGCAATTTAATCAGTCCCCTCCTCACTCCTCTATCCTATCGGCTCCCACCTAAGTCCTAACCAGGCTTGACTCTGCTCAGCTTCCGAGATCAGATGGGATCAGTCGCGTCCAGAGTGGTGTGGCCACAGACACCTCCCTCCTATTTTCTAAAAGCAAATCTGAGTGAGAACTACGGGGGTGGGGAGGGGAAGTGAACACAGCACGTTGCTCACATGTCATGTATCCCCTTGAACAGTTAGATGAGGAGATTAGGATATCAATGCTGACACGACACTACCAAGATATACCTACATTAATCTTTCCTTTCCCAGAATCTCTCAAAGGATATCATACTCCAATGGATAGATACCAATGCTGGAGGGAATTTGCCATCATTGCCATCACTCTTATGAACAGGACCAGAAATTGGATTATTCCTACTTGGAGGACATGAATCTTAATTAACAGGGTGGGGAGGGGATGTGGGTATCAGTTTAGCCACATAGGAGGCTCCATTTGCCTTCCAGCTCCTTTGAAAAGAGGGGTTCCCAGGCCTCCAGAAAACACCCATTTCACTTCAAAATCTGCCCTGCGAGGAGGGTGTCATGAACTCTTCAAAATGCTTTCTGCTGGACGGGCTTGGTGACTGAGCCTGGAATCCCAGCACTTTGGGAGGCCGAAGCGAGTGGATTGCCTGAGCCCACGGGTTCAAGACTCACCTAGGAAACTTGGCAAGAGCTTGTCTCTACAATAAATAGGTCCAGGCTGCGGTGGCCAGGAGCGTGCCACTGCACGCCAGTCTGGGTGACAGAGTGAGATTCTAATTAAAAAGAAAAATGCTTTCTGCTGCCCCAACAGGCGTGACAGGTTGTGTTGTTCAAGCTGAAGTTGTCCTGTCCACACTCAAATGGAAATCTGGCCAAGAGAGGGGTGCAGGTTGACACATACAAACACGTAATAAAATGCCACTCTCAAACTCTGTCAATAACCAATTCCTTCCCCGATTCCGCTGTGCCCATGTCCACACTCAGCTTCCTGATGCCGGTTCTGTTGGCCAACATGGACTTCCCTCTCAAGACCATTCTCCATGTCATTTTTCTGAAAATAATAAAAGGCTGATCCCAACCATCTTCCCCGAGACATTCCCCAGTTAACACACTTGTAGATTTTGATGGCTGCCCCTTTTTTCCTGCCTGTTGGCCAGTTTCCAACTTTTCACATACAACTTGTGTCTTACATTTTCCTGGGCTGCAGAGCGTTTTGTGAAAGGCTTCCAGAAACACTGGACTGCTGTGAGGGTCCTCCCACCACGTTCATCTTCCCCAGCAGCAAAGGCTTCCAGGGTTTCCAGTGTTCCTGGAGTCCTGACCTGCCCTCTCGGAAGCCATGTTGGCCCTTTTCTCTCTCTCTCTCTCTCTCTCTCTATTTTGTTTTTGGGTTGGAGTCTCGCTCTGTTGCTCAGGCTGGAGTGCAGTAGCATGATCACGGTTCACCACAGCCTTGGCATTCTGGGCTCAGGTGATCCTTCTGCCTCAACCTCCTGAGTCTCTGGGCCTACAGGTGTGTGCCACCACTCCCAGCTAATTTTTTGATTTTTGTGCACCACTACACCTGGCCCCATCACACATTTATTGAGTGCTTGCTACATTGCCAACTATTTTCCCAGGCACTGGGGGTACAGTGAATAAAAGTGACCGTCCCTCCTAAGTCCTAAACTCGCAGATGACATAGACACACACATAAACTGCAATGTTGAAGATGATAGGTGCTCTGAAGAAAAATCCAGCAGGATAAAGAAGAATGGAGTCGGTGCTTTTAGAAGGTGTAGTCACAGTGGCCGCTCTGAGAAGGGCCTGCCTGAGCAAGGAAGGTGATTTCCCACGGGTCCCTTCTCGCATCTCCTTTCCTTTGAGAACCCCTTACTCAGGGTTACACTGGTGGCAAAGGAGGGGGTTAGGGGGGCGGATGCTACCCTCTGCCGCCAAAGCAATCCTAAAGAGGACCAAGGAGCTGCCACCTTCCTTCTCCCTGGTTTTCTGCGGGCACAGTCTTCTCATGCCCACTAGCACGTAATGCGTACAGCATTAACCCACCTGTACATGTCAGGGCTTGCCTGTTTCACTCTTCCTTCACCGAGCCCAGCTCAAACTTTTTTTTTTTTATTTTGAACTGACCCAGGCTGGAGTGCAGTGGCACACTTACAGCCATTGAAACCTTGACCTACTGGGCTCAGGCGATCCTTCCACCTCAGCCTTCCAAGTAGCTGGAACTACAGATGCACACCACCACGCCTGGCTAGTTATTCTCAAACTTTAATGTGTTTAAAAATCACTTGATCTATCACAGAGACAAAGAACAGAGTACCACATGTTCTCACTCATAAGTGGACCCTGAATATTTACTGTAATACTGTAAGAAAGGGGGCCGGGCTCGGTGGCTCAGCCTGTAATCCCAGCACTTTGGGAGGCCGAGGCGAGTGGATTGCCTGAGCCCATGGGTTCGAGACCCACCCAGGCAACTTGGTGAGAGCTCATCTCTACAATAAATTAAAAAAAAAAAAAAATTAGCCGGGCTCGGTGGCTCAGCCTGTAATCCCGCGCCTTTGGGAGGTTGAGGTGAGTGGATTGCCTGAGCCCGCGGGTTTGAGATCCGCCTGGGCAGCGAGACCTCATCTCTACAATAAATAAAAAATTCAGCCGGGCATGGTAGCGCATGCCTGTAATTCCGGCTACTCGGAAGGCTGAGGCGAAGGATCGCCAGAGCCCAGCAGGTCGAGGCTGCGGTGGCGGGGAGCGGCCACTGCGCTCCAGTCTGGGCGACAGAGTGAGACTCCAACACAAAAAAAAAAAAAAAAAAAAAATTAGCCAGGCGTGGTAGTGTGCAGCAGTAGTTCTGGCTACAAGGAAAACTGAAGTGGAAGGATTGCTGGAGCCCAGCAGGTCGAGGCTGGGGTGGCTGGGAGTGTGCCACCGCACTCCAGTCTGGGCGACAAAGTGAGACTCCAACTCCAAAAAAAAAATACTGTGAGAAAGGGATTGGCAGTAGTGGGATATTGCTAGGGATGGGGGTAGGCGGGACACAACATCAATAAGGTACCTGATCTCAAACCAGGCAAAGTGGGGACCAAGGGAGGCCCAAATTTTACCTGTACGATGTCCACTTGTACACCTAGTTCTGAATTGTACCCTGCATC